CGATGTGAGTTCATGCCCAAGGTCCCAAGAGAACGAGGAGAAGGGATTGCGGCGTGGCCAGTCCCCCCCCCCCGGGGGGGGGTGATTTCTCGCTTTCTGTCTCTCTGTCTCTCTCTGTCTGTCTGGTGAGCACACGTGCCCTATAGCAAAAATCTCTCCAAAAAAAAAAATATAGACCCCAGAGCTCAGGCTAACCCCGGAGATAACAGTGGTCACCTTCCTAGGCACCAACTGGCTGGTGAGTGGTCCCTCCAGGACCCCAGCCCCTTGCAGCACCCATGGAGTCCTCAGTGACTCAGCTCAGAATCACTTGGCACCTTATCAGGTCTCGGAAAGCTGGGAGTGGACGTTATCTCGTGCCCTTCAGTCTGGGTGAGAGAATGGGAAGCTCTTATCCTGCCAGCGGAAGGGTTCCACCCCCGGTGACCCAGAGCTTCCTCGGAAAGTTAATGAGTAGACATTCATCAGGCTGCCCTGAATGGGTCCTGGGACAGGGTGACTCACAGGGCCAGCAGACGGCTGACCCAACCCATGGCTCACCAGCAATGCCTCAGACAGCAGAGCAGGAACCTCAGCCGCTGGGCCTGCTGCTTCCCCACCTGGGGAGGCCAGAAAGAGTCAGGTCCTAGTGCCAACAGGCATGCGGACAGGATCAGAGTGGCCTAGAGTAACAGGACTCGGGTGGAGGGTGGACCAGAGAGGAGACACCGGGGCTGAGGTGACTCCCAGGCTGAGGAGCAAGCGTGTGCGAAGAACCCGGGCAGGAAGGAGTTTGCAGCTAGGTTGGAGGCAGCAAGGTCAGGGAGTGAGGGACCAGGTGGCAGGAGGACATGCAGGCTGGGAGGGGGCAGGCCAGCCCTGGAGTCAAACCTCTGCCAGATTTCCACTTCAGATGTAGTTCTGGTCATAGTGTCATCACCCGGCATGGATTGGGAGAGGTGGGGTGACTTTTCTCTATCCCGGGGCCCTGGGCCAAATGTCCAGAGACTCATGGAGATCTTGCCCCTGCTCCCTTGCCAACCTAGATGTCGTGTGAAACTCAGTCACAGCTGACGCCAACCTGTCCCCCAGGGTGGACAGAAGAGGCATGCATAGCCCAAGAGGACCTCCTGGCCTGTGGGTGAGCCCTTGAAGCAGGCTGACCATGGCCACGTGCACTGTCACCTCCCAGAGCCTCAGGGCAAGTGGGGGGTTGACTAGCTTGGTGAGAAATTGTCACTTTGGAGCCAATAGGTGACAGGGTTGGGTGGAAGGGGCAAAAGCAGTCAGGGCCAGCTGGTGGCATTGTGGTTAAGAGAACTGGATCCCACATGGTCAACTACATGGTTCAAGTCATGGACCTGGTGGTTAAAAACACACTGGGCACATGTGTGCGCATGCCCAAAATTCTGAAAGGAGGGGAAATAGAAGGGCGGTGTCATGGTCATTCGCCATGGGGAGTGCTTTCTTGCTTCCCCTCCCTCTCTCTCTCTCTCTTTCTCTTTTTTTTTTTAGAATTATTTTATTTGACTTTTATTTATCTATTTATTTGTTTTAATATGAACAGAGAGGGACAGAGTGAGAAAAAGAGAGAGAGAGAGAGAGAGAAAGTGAGAAAGCAAGCCACCAGGTCCAGAACTTGAACCACTGTTGGCCATGTGGGAGTCCAGCACCCTCAACCACCATGCCACCTGCCAGCCCCCCTCCCTCTCTCTCTTTCTCTCTGCCTCTCTCCAGTGAGCACATGTGCCCTGTGGGAAAATTTAAAAAAAAAAAAAGTCAGAGTTGGAAAAGCAGATGGGTTAGGCCGCCATCCTTTGATAATGTCAGCAAACTTAGGGCCCTAGAGATAAGGATGAAAGCCATTTGCAGCACTGCTCTGCTCGGCCAGCCTGCCTGAGGTGTGGCTGTTGGGTTCTGTTGGACTCCCTGGGCAGCTGGCGGGCAGGATGTGGGGCTGGGCCCAGGACTGCCAGGCAACTGGCACTGCATAGACCCAGAAGGTGTCCTAGGAGGGTGGGTGAGGGGGAGTCCAGCCAGCATTTGCATGTAAGGAAATGAAGTCACCCAGCAAGGTAGTCACAGAAAAGGGATAGAAGCCCCTTCCCCTAGTCCTGTGCAGTGACTTTTCAATGTGTCACTGTGTCCAGCCAGCCAGCCTCGTGTCTATCCACTCAACCAAAAGAGGGAGGTGGGCAAAGATGAACTAAACTGCCCCTGCCCTCAGAGTCATGGCTCAACTTAGAAAAAAGTGTTGAATGAACCAGCAATAAATAAATAAATAAATGGAAGCCAGATGGAGCCCCATCCAGCTTGGTCCAACATCTGGGCCAGTCCCTTGGGAAGGAGGCCCCAGAGAGTGCCCGCACACACTGACTGAGGGACCCTGGTGGGGGCACCCTGGCTGCGTACAGAGACCCAGGGCTGGATGCTCCCCCAAATTTCCTTCCCATTCCAGTTTCCTTTCCAGCATTTTGTTCTAGGGCAGTGGGAAGAGGTCTGAGCGGGAAAGAGAACGACCCCATCTCTCCACCCCCGGCTTTCCCAGGCAGCTGTGGGTCCTGACTCCCTCCTGGAGCCCTCCAGGGTCCATGGCCCCAGGCCCTGCCATTTCCCAGGGCAGCACTGGCCTTTAATTCACTTGCCGCGACTCGAGGGCTGGGCAGGATCCCAGGAGAAGGGGCTTGGCTTCCTGCCACCCACCCCTCACTCGTCACCAGCCTCCCAAAATAGCCATCTCTGTGGCCACCTCCGCTCCCATGCATTTCCGGGGCATCTGGCAGAGAAAGCCAGTTTTGTCCCTGTCCGCCCAGGCCCCGGGCAGTGACGTGCAGGCCTCTGAGGCCACAGTCCAGAAGAAAGGGCCCTTCTCATGGGGGCTGGCCACTGTAGGGGGTCCCTCCTCACGTCAGACATCAGCTCTGCGGAGAAGGGGGACCTGTGCCTGCCTCATCCCCGTGGGGGCCCAGCAGAGGCCTCACTCGGGTCCCCAGCTTCTGACTCTCCCTGCCTGCCGGCCCATGGAAGGGCCCATTAGTGCAGAGCCCACAGCCAGGAAGCCGAGGAGGGCAGGGGCCAGTAGCACAGGGAGACTGGATGAGTGCCCAGTGCCAGCCAACCGCTGGCCAGGCAGCCCAGCTCGAAGAACAAGGGGTTGCCAAGGCCTGACCCCCCCACTTTTTCTGGGCCCTACCAGTTTCCCTGAGTTGGCGTGGACTGTAATCCCTTCCTGCCTGGGAGTTTCTGTAGGAATTCTTACAAGGGCGTGTGTGTGTGTGCATGTGTGTGTAGGCGTGTGTGTGCCTTTGTGTGTGCATGCACATGCAGCTGGCGGTGGGGGGTGCAGAAGAAGTCATTTCTTTGACCTTCTTGGAGAGGCAGCTAGTGGCTGGCCTCATTTGGACAGGCATGGACATCTCCCAGGACGCTGCCCCTCAGACACAGCTGTGTCTGTGCCCCGGGGCCCTGACAGGGCAAGTTGGGTGAAGTCTAGGACAAGACTTTGGTTGTGCGTGTGAACAGCTAAAATTCACACATTTTCTCTATAATCAAACGGCCACTGGGGTTTCAGTGCAGGATCTGACCTGTCCCACCTGCCCTGGGATGAGTGCTCCTCAAACTCAGGGGTCCAGAGGACAATGTCAGCTGGGGAAAAGGGCTAGGCCTCATGAAGAAGGGCCCCTGCAGATATAGGTGTTTGCTCAGCTGGCGAGGGGAAGACCCTTCCTTCCACTCTGGCCTGGAGTTCTTACAGCCTCGTTCAGTAGTTCCCACTTGGCTCCTGTCTCCCCCTTGGGAGGAGGCTGGACCAGTCCCACTTACCTGTGTCCCCAGGTGACAGTCTGCTCCTTCTGAGGGGGTCACAACCCGGTCTCTATGTGGTGGAGAAATGAAAGCTCAGGGGGCAGCCAGTCTCAGGCAGGTAGGGAAGGTGGCCTGAGGGACACATCTGGGAACTTTTTGAGGCTCTGGGTTTCAAAACCAAAGGCCCCCAGACCCAGTACGTCCCACCCACTCTAGGAGGTGTGGAAGGGGCTCCTGAAGGGAGGGAAGGTGGTTTCTGAGGATCCCTGGGGCCCTGAAATTCCCTTTCTGGGGACACACACACATACCCCAGGTCCATCCTTTAGGGCACTTCCCATCCCTGCGGCTGGTTGTGGCCTGGGGGGCTCAGCCACTCCCCCCAGCACTCTGTAATGCACTTCCCAGGCTCTGCATTCTGGGTTCAGTCCCCACCTACCCTGAGGTGCTGGGTGACATGCTGTGGAGAAGGATAAGGATGACCAGAGCTCCCCTCCTTCCTGTACCTAGTGAATGTGCCCTGAGGGTCTCAGTCCCCACAGGGGCAAGTGGGGGGTGTTTCAAGGAGCACCCGTGCCCTGAGACCCTGGCCCTATGCAACTGTTGTCCCCAGAATTCAGTGTCCTGCTGTCGTGGCTCTCATTGCCAATCTCCTGGGAGCTGTTCTCAGCTTCACCTGTATCCCCACCAGCACCAAAGGGGCCAGCACTGATGCCCAGCCTTCCCAGCCAGGTAAGCCCCACCAGGTAACCCCCACAGGTACATCTCACCAGGCAACCCCTCCCAGGTACGCCCTGACAAGTAAGGCCCCACCAAGTATATCCCACCAGGTAAGCGCCCACCTAGTACACCTGCCAGGTAAGCCCCCTTCAGGTACATCCCACGTGGTGAGCCCCACCCCTGCTGGATGCTGGGCCAGTGGGAGGCATGATCTCCCCACCCCCAAAAGCCAGCACTCTGGAGCTTCGGCCAGTCCTGCTGAGACAGGGCATGTGCTCCAGCCACAGGGTGGGGAGCCTGGAGGGAAAAGTGGGAGC